CCTGCCCCCGCACCGGCCTGCTCGCCCGGCGAGCTAAGCCACTTGAGCACGCGTGGATCAGGGTCGTGCGCGAAGCAGTCGGGCCGGAGGGCCAGGTCGTCCCGCAACAGTGGCTCGTGCGGACGCCTGCCCCAGGTGTCGATCCCGATGATCGCCGGCGTCTCGACTTCCTCGCATATGGTGCCACACAGCTCGCTGCAGTGGCCGTCCCCGCCGAACGCCGCAAGCGCGCTGCCTACCCCGAGCTCCTTCGGCGAGGACCGCAAAGGCTGTGCGTGCTCGCGTGCGAGACCGGCGGGCGCTGGAACGACGAGTCGCTCCGCCTTGTCGCGCAGCTCGTCCGTTTGCGTGCCCTGCTGCGAGCCCCTGCTCTGTTCCGAGGAGCTGCCACCCAGGGCTGGTGCAGACGCTGGTGGGGCCTACTCAGCGTGGCTGTGCAGAACACGCTTGCTGCCACTTTGCTCGGGTCGCCGCCCGTCCATGCCCCAATGCTTGGCGCGCAGGCACCGCTTCTGCAGGACGTCCTGCACGACGCGTGCCCGCCTGTGCCCAGCTGCCTGCCGGCTCGCTGAGCCGCTGCAGCCCCTTTGCTATGCCGTAGTTCGCAGGTGCACTGGGACCGCGCGCGGATCGCCCGAAAAGTCCGTTGGGGGAAAAAAAGTGTTTGCGGTTTCCGGCTGTGTGCAGAGCCACGCCGGGGGTGAAAGCAGCTTACCGCCTGGGTCTGACGAACGAGATTTTGGGGACTTTTTTGCGGGGCTGGCAACAACGGGTGACCCTCGCCAGCGACAAGTGCGCACTCGATTTGCATGTTTTTTCATCTTGATGCCGCATCTCGGGCGCTGCTGCGGTCACAGGCCGAGCTACGTGCGTGCGCCTGCCGTGGCCGCGTCGACCCGCTCGTTTGAGCATGCCCACCGGTGCCGCTTGGTGGTCGTAAGCGTTGAAATCGGCGGCTGAAGCTGCAAACTGGCTCCGGCTCCTTGCCGCAGGTAGTCCAACTTCAGAGGGGGCTACGCTAAAAGAAAACTGAAGCATCCCTAAGGCGCGTAGCATGACCTATGTGGGTGTGGAAGCATCGCGAGGGGGCTGCGACCAACAAACTTGCAAAAACCGTTTCGAATCTTGTGCGGAGATTCGGCATTTACCAAGGGTGTCTGCGCAATGCTGTTGGGGCAACATTCAAATAACTTCACAGCAACTGTCAGGCTGAGGGAGACAAAATGCGACAGATGCACAGAATCTGAGTGCCCTCGCGACATGCCCAGCACACTTACTTCTGGCACGAATCCATTTGTCACACAGGCTATGTTAGACCTGCTTGAAAGCAGAAGCCGGAAGAATCAGGATGTTTCCAGCGTTGACCGCTTGGCACGGAAGTTGAGTTAGTTGCAGCAAAACCTTGATCATTCGCAGGCGGCGCAACTGGGACTGGGAGAAGTAAAAGCGGGCCGGACCTGTGCGATGCAAGAATGCGGTCATGTGTGCTCAATATGCTACTGCATCAGGTCGCCTGGGCACACACATTGGTCTCTGCATGTCTCTGCCACACGACCGCCAAGGCTTTCTCGTCCTCGGCACGCCGCTGGGTACCGACGAGAATACGTCTACGGCATCCTCGCCGCGCATTGGGCACAGCACTCCTCCTCACCTGCATCCCGGAGATTGCACAGCGGCGATCAGCTCCCAGCTGCTGCTGTGCGCACCTCGCAGCTTGCCCTTGGGTTGGGTGGACTTGGGCTGCGCTCGGCAACCACCGACCGCCATGCCGTGTATACTCGGCCTCTTGGCTCGACGCACTGCCAGCAATCCGTGCTCGCTCTCCGCGCGGCCGCGCAAGCTGCCGACCACTTCACCGTTCAAGGCTGCATAAGGCTGCCGCGTCCCCGCTTGGGACGGCCCAGAGGCCGCGCACGGACATGTCCACGACCAGCCAGGGCACGGTCTCCGAGGCTGGCAGCGGCACGCCGCCCGCGCCTGTGACCAGCGCGCGTTCGAGACGCATTTCGCCACCTTGCCTTCCGCGTCCCGAGCGCTGCTGCTGTCCCAGGCTGGGCCACATGCCGCCTGCTGCTTCACAGTCCGCCCTACTCACAAAGCAGTCACCATCCCCTCCCCTCCGCAAAGTTCCGGGTACTTCTCCGCCGCCTGCGCTTAGCGCTGCCGCTCGCGCCCCGGCTCTGTGCCTGCCGCGGTCTGCTTCACCCGCGCGGTGACCACCGCGCAACTTGTGCGACCTCCGGGGCCCTTGCCTCCCGCGCATTCCCGCTTCGTCGCTATATATAGGGTCTGCAAAAAAACCGGCTCGGGTCGCCCGCAACGTGCGCCTTGCAGACATGAGCCTCCCCACTCGAGTGCCCGACGCGTGCAGGATAGAAATAGAAATCGTCTGCAACGGCTTGCCTATGCTTGCCTCGTTGGCACGGGGCTCAGCTTGCAGTCGACACCACCTGCGTCAGGCTTGTCACTCGCTCCGTCACGCCACGGCCAGGAGCCGATATAGTCAGCCCGGCCTCGCCCTACAGCACGCAACGAGGCGTAAGCATCGCGACACGTACCCCGAGCTTGCGCGTTCGCATGCGTTCGCTTGCGAAGACAAAAGAAACGCCGAACACCTCCGCGTGTTCCTCCTCGTGATGCCGACGCCACGGACTTGTCGTTGCCGAGGCCGCCTCGACCCGTTGGGTGATCGCTTGCGCAACGTCCGCTGCCACGACCACGATTGACCAGCTTCGGTGGTATAAGTAGGAAATTGGACACTAAGTCAAGTGTTTCGCTGTTCCTCCTTGTCGTGCCCGACATCCAAACCTCGCGCTAGATTCCGGCCCAGTTTGTTAGAGCCATGACACATGTGCAATCTCCACAGGCTTGCAGCCTGAGTTCAGGCTGGCCGAACCCAGAGAATCAGGGCTGCGGGGTGTTAGGGTTTGGGGTTTAGTAAGGGTCAAATGCTACAACCCAGGGCTGTTCTGGCTACTTGAATCGCGCATAGGCTATCGTAGGCTGTCGCAATGCATCAATAGGCAGTTACGCGGCCAGGAAGCAACAAATAGCAAGCCTACCATACATGCTGCAAGATGAAATCCAGGCCGGAAGAGATTATAATGATGTATTGCTAACATCAAAGGATGTTGTTGCAGGCTGATGCCAGCGAGAGCCACGCTGAGGAATCCGTTGAGGAAGCCTCCGTCGAGGAGGCTGTGTTTCGCATTGTGCTGTGGTCACACCGCAAGCACCAAGCATCATATTGGTAATTCCAACACACCGAAGACAGCCGCTACAATTCGTCGCCATTGATAGCAAGGCAGAAGAGGCCGCAACCCAGACAACATCTTCGGCCTGGCAGACCCACGATGATGTCGAGTGGACGGTGCGCCGGACAGAGATTTCATCAGAACAGATCGGCTCGGGCTCGGGAGGACCTACTGCATCTGAGTTTCTTTCTGAGGCAGACGATGAGGAGGAATGGCAGAAGGACACGCATCGGGATTATTATGAAGCGCAATGGCCTTATCAGACTTCTCGAGTTGAAGCGCTGTGGAGAAAGAACGCACGTGCTTATTGAGGTTGGGATTGACACGCTCTGACGGGACGTCCATTTCCGCGAGTCGAGTTCGCGCAGCGTGTGGTTCTTGATTCATGGCAACAACCCATCTAAAGACCATAAAGAAATCCGAGCCGCAGTTGAGCCGCCGATGTATAAGGTATCATCGAATGGTGCAGAAATGGCATCCGGATTTCCAATCCATTCAAACATCAGGCCACCGCTAGTGCCGCTAGTGCATGAAGATGCTTGTATCGCAGCTCGAAAGGCAGTTGTGATCACGAGAATGGTCCACAGAGGACGCGACATGAAGTTTTGCGAAGGCGTGGGGATGCTGGGAGGAGATTTGCTTGTAGTCTTATTTTGCTTTCATACCTTGCAGGTTTTGGTTAATCACCGAGGCGGAATGCATTCCATGCCTTGTGTTTGTGCAGCTGTGCACTGGCCCTGTGGCCAGGCATATCTAGTTCTCAAGGATCCGGAGAGGCAAGCTTTGCAAGACATAAGCGCCCAATCCAATCACCTGGCAATTTTGCACAGGCGGCGCATCTACGACGACTGCGGCTTCGCACATTTCAAGCAAAGTGAAGCGTGTCAGGGGCCATGCTGTGACATGCCAAGCCACAGAATGGAGGGGCTGTTGGGACTGACGTGAGGCTATCAAGAACCAGTCTTCGAACAGGAGCTGGTTGCTCATGTGGGGCCGTTGTTTGTTGCCCACAGTATCTCACTTTGCATTGCGGGAGCTGGATCTCCTGCTCCACTCCTATCTCCGTGTTTGCAGGGTCGAGAGTTGAGAGGCTGAACTTCCATTCTCAAAGCGTGGCAGTGTTGTTCCGTTCGCTGTTTGGCCCAAGGGTGGTCGAAGTTTTCATGGTCGGAGTGCTTTCGGCATCGCAATGCGACGCCTACTCAGGCCTGGCGCTCTGATCCGAAGGCTGCCATTGCTTCCCAGACGGACCTTCAGCTCGTCTGCCGCACTTCGGCCGAGAGATGACTGCACAGATGTTTTCGTTCTTTCGCTCTTGTTGCCGCGTAATTTCACCTCCGCAAAGCTGGCGTTTCGAAGACGCCAAGATCAAGATACATCATCATCAATTAAGTTCAAGCAACGTAGACTTAGTTACGGAAGCCGGAAGCTTTTGGACGAGCGAGGCGTCACACGGTGACGTGAACGTGAAAGGATCATGCGTCTAGTTGAAGCCGACGAAATTGGGAGGGGGTGGTCAGCCAATCGAGAGGCATCAGCGTATCACATTCCGAGGTTGTTCGCAGGGCTTTATGAATGCTTTATGGCATAACATGTCAGCGGTGGTGCTACGGAAGATTCGTAGTCGAAATGCAAAGCTGTGGTCGGTTTGCAACGTGCGTGGCATCCGCTTGTGCAGCCACTCAGGGGGAGGCCAGACCATCTGTAAAGAATTTGCGGCGGCACTTCATTGTTTGTGCGGTGCCGATGGTCGGGTTCGGCATCATGGACTCTCAGCTGCATGGAGTATTTGGAGTTCGGCGGTCAGTCCTGCTGCTTGCTGCTGCCGCCTGCTGCATCTCAAAGCCAGCTCCTAGCCCGAAGGACAACACCATCATGATTCACGCAGGCGCGGGGCAAGGGTGCTGATGTAAGAGTGCAAAGTGGGAGCGTCTGCAAAGAACCGCGAGAGGCGAGATGATTGATGAGCACCTGGGCATGGCTTTGGGGCTTAGCACTATGGCCTCTGCAGCTGCTGGACAAGTGATTTCTGACTTTTCAGGCCATGCCACACCACATCACCGAGTGGTGAAGCAGCTGCAAAAAATCTGGTTGATGTTCTTGGTTGCTACAGGTAGTGCTACCATCATGGCATGCTGCCATCTTTCTCGTGGTGGCATTGTGGCAGGGGACACGCATTTTAGTCACGTTGAAATTGACCCAACGCAGGTTAGCGGTTAGAGCCCGAATCCCCCCCCACAAACGCATGATGCTTCTGGCCCGACGGCTCGACTTGAGAAAAAATCAGTCCGAACGTGTGAATTAGTTTCCGCGTAAGTTTCCTCCGGCCAGACAGGAAGCAGCAGAATGAAGCAAGTTCGGATAAGTCCTTCCATAGCACTGGCAGATGCACTGAAGTGAATGCCTCAGTGAGTGAGAGCACGGGCTGCGGTTCAGCGGTTGCAGGCATCAGGATCTGCAAGATACGGTCTGCGCAGAGTGGCAGAATTGAGAAACAGTATGGCCTTCGATCTGCTGAAGGTAAGAAAAGATGCCTGGCGCATCTTCAAGCCAAGCCTGAACATCAAGACCATGCCCCTAGTTCTAAGTGAAAGAGCTGCAGAGGCGTCTGCTTTGGTGGCACTTTGGAGGCTGCTGCATCGAAGCTGGGGCTGCGCCACCCTGCCTTATCAGACAAGCAGCGGCAGATGTCCGTTGTGAAACTGCTGGGCACAGCCGGCTCTGCCATAGGCCTACGGGATACAACAGGGAAGAGGAAGAAAGTGGGTCCCTGTCATGCAGTTCCAAGCTCCAAGATGCACCCCACTGTGAAGGAGTCCTGTGTGGCTGTCTTTTGGGCATGCTGAATCTGCTGTTCTTGGACTTGCGGAAAGTCGAAAGGCAGAAGAAGCATGCAGAGCTGCAGACAATCTGCAAGACGTTTGCAGTCGATGGCCCTGCCCACTTTGAAGCCGAGCGCTGCACACTTTACATTCGCGACTCCGAGGATAAATACCTTTGGACGTTTGCCAAGCGATGGCAACTCAGTGATGCACAGCTTAGCGAGTTCAAGTCGTTCACAGAAGAGCAGGATTATAGCGACGGTGCGATTGCAAGTGCGCTTGCGGAGTTACACTTCAAGGCATCGGAAATCGCACACCTAGTCAGAAAGTCGAAGGAAGTCTCATCTGACGAATTCAGAGTTTACTTGGAACAACAACTGGAAAGGCCGACAAGGATAAAGTTGCGAGCGGGCGGCACGAAGAAGTATGTCGTTGATGCAAAGAAGCTGCTGAATACCCCGGTCGTGTACTCCGACCCTCGGTTTGCGGCAACACATAGGAACACGGGAAGCGGGACTCGTGCCTGCAGCGTCCTTGTGTGCCCGATTCTCAGCAAACGTTCTGGGGAAGTGTTGGGCGTGCTTGAAGTCATCAACAAAATGTGGCTTGGTCATCGTTTGTGCGTAGGCAACCTCTTGACCTTTGTTTCAGTGGTCCTTTTATGTTTTCTTTGGTTGGGCACTCCGGAAGTGACTGAGCATCAAGCCCAGGCCAAAACGGCCTCAGAAGCCGGTCTTCACAGAAATGGACGAGAAGCTCGCCCTGATGATGTGTTCACATGTCGCAAGCATTGTGGACACAATCTGCATCCTGGCACAGCTAGCACAAGGAGTTTTCTACTGTACAACTCAGGACACCGGTCCATCCTTTGTTCGTGCATGTTCTGTATATTGAGAGAGAGAGAGAGAGAGAGAGAGAGAGAGAGAGAGAGAGAGAGAGAGAGAGAGAGAGAGATCGCTTCTCATTTGTGGTGGGCGTGGCATGGCATGTGCGGTGAGCCTCTCATATGCGTGCAAGGTGATGAGGACTCTCAGCTGCTGGAATTCCTCGGGTAATTAAACTGACCGTTGGCAGCCCGTTCAAAATTGAACGGCTGCCTCCCGCATTGCTTTCCAGTAGTGCAGGTCACGCATCCCATGCAATCGCTTTCGTGTCATTCTTCAAACATTTTCCGCAAGCTGGAATGAAAATTGCTTTTGCTGCCGCCTTCAAGGCACAATTCACACAGAGCATGCAACACTCATGTTTGCAGAGTCAGGACGCATATCAAGTTTATGAGGATTTCTTCAATGGCAAGCATCTGAGAAGTGCTGCGCCAGACATATTCTACAGACTTTCGAATTGCTGTTCATGTATGAGGCACTGATCCTGAGGCACGTGACTTCCTGCACCCACCTTGGCTGGCTGTGTGCATGTGTGAGCTCGTGTAGATTGGTATGAGAATAGTCCCTCGGCAGAGCGTCGACTCGAGTGCCTTTGCTGCCGGTTCCTCTGCCCCCGCCACGCTCCATTCGCGTCTCTGACGACTACCGATGTAAGCCTACCAAATATCCGGATACCCAGAGGCCCAGCTGGGGTAGGTTGCCGCCCATCCCGAATGCCAGCTCTGTCAGAACTGCATAGCAGCTCCTTGTATTTAGGTGGATCATGGGTAAGCAAGGAATTCAATGCAGTTTCGGTCCGAATGCACTCGCATGTAAGGGCGATGAAGAGGGTGGAGGATTCCCCTTGTCCCCTCAATCCACTCTTGCAAGGGCTGGAAACATGGCTCTGGCAAGCCAGGCTTGTCTTAGCCTATCTTAGCCTGTTAGCGCTCTCCTCCACGACGTAGTTGTTGACACTTGTGGAACAGAGCTGTGAACAAGTTGAGGAGCTCAATCTGCGATGTAGGGTCATGAGCACATTGTCGGCAGGAAGAGAACCGCACATGCAATGAGCACCTAGGTGTACTGCTGTTACCAATGCCTCCTCGGCTAGTCTTGGCGGTGGCTGCCGAGTCAAAAAGCGGTGTCATGAGCAGTCCTTGAAAGATTACCGTCCATACTTCGGCCACCGGTCTTAGCGGTCCCGGTCCCGGTCTTCGGCCCCTCGCCTCGCTTCGCCTCGCTTCGCCTCGCCTTGCTTGCGCCCTCGCTTGGCTGGACGATGCGATGGCAGACGTGCTCTTGGGATCACTGACAATCCCGGCATTGGACAACTCAGGCTAATGAACGGCGGGGCGGCAGGTGCGATGCATTCGGTTCGCTTCACCCAAAGGAGCTACTGCTCCAAGCCTGGATTTCCACCCAGACTTGACGCGTCTCCTGCAGACAGCGGCAGCGAAAGTGACGACAGCATGGAGGACAGGGCCTTCAATGGGGCCAGGGAGGCTCGGCATGTTTTGCCACGTGAGAAGGGCGAGCTGGCCGTCGCACCCGCTGATGACGCTCGTGCTGGACGCCAGGCAGAGGCATCGGGAGAGAATTTTCGAGAGTCGTACGCGGCCTTGTGCGGCCTTTGTCAAGAAAAAAGACGCTGAAGGCCGCACGTGATTCTTCACCTCCTCGGCTCCCGCCAGAGATGGCCAAAGCAGTGGGCGAGCAGGGCGAGGCGACGAGGCCCACTGGGCGACGCGTCTCGCAGTTTTGCTTCCGCTTTGAGGCTTTGGCTTCTTCCGTGGACCAGTTCTCAGCAATGCTCAACGGGGTCCCTCGGAAGACTATGACGGTACGACTCGCCCCTTTCGTGCAGAATCTTACTGTGCCCTTCAGGTCCTTTCTACAACGCTGCGTCGGGATTCTGGTTCGGTCTTGAGTCCTTGCGTCCTTGCTGTGCACCCGAGCAGCTTTGAGACTCTTACAGTGCAGCTGAGACTCTGTTTACAGCGGAGGTGGACATGAAGGCCGTCTTCATACTGCCAAGGCCTCCACATCGGTGTTGAGCCAGGGGACATGCTCCTCCATTGTCGCAGCCGATCCACGGAGGCAAAAGCAGGCTCGGGACGGCCGAGGCGACGTCCTGCAAAAAAAGCTCGCGCTCCCGCCAAACCGCATATGCAGGCATGGAGAGAAGCTGAATGCATCTGAATTCAGGGAGCAACCAGTAACTTTGAGTGAAGGCTTGGAAGTGCTGGCGAGGGGCGGGGCGTATCAGGCGTGGTCCGGAACTATCCTTGCACACAAATGGTAGTTCCAGACTGTGACCCGGCCCAGGCAGGTCTGCAACAAACGCCTCGCGGGGAGGAGTAGGCGAGCAGCTGCGCAGAAGGACCCCCGCGACTGTGTGGCAACCAGGAAGCCGATAAGCGACATGCCGCCAGGAATTGAATTGAGTTGCTCTGACGTGCACATGCAGCGCCTTTGCAGGAACCTGTCTGCCAGAACAATTTGCCCTCCTGCACAACGCAGACTGCAGCTGAGCAAGACGCAGAAAGACGGATTGCTTGCCAGTTTTGCTATAATTTGCGTGTTGCCGCTAATGTATCTGGCCTGCTCTAGGTGCCCAAGATCGTTTATTTCCGCTTGGGGAAAGTCGGAAGGTGTTTCTGATGTGGGCAACCCCAGCCTTTGCTGCCCCAGGTTCGGAGGAGGACGGATTCCCAGACTCTTTTTGCCTGAACGTGCTTTGGTCTTCGCCGTTCGGCAAGCAAAACGACATGGATAAGTGGATGCTCATGTTGCAGCGGCCATGTGCACTCCATGACTTGGATCGACGTGGGCAATTGAATGTGGTGAAGATCTACTGGATTCTACTGAGTGCGCCGTTAGTCGGCTGAACAGGGAAAGAAGCACCTTTCAAGGGATTTGGACGCTCGCGTGCCCCGGTAGTGATGCAAGTCCGAACTTGTCGAATCTGCCTCGATTCCTTGGCTCGCAGCTGTTTTTTGTTTTTTTAGACACGGCAGGAGCCAGAAACACTGTACAGTACAACAACATGACTGGCGACAGCCGTGTCGTCGCGGTGGCTGGGAATCTAATTGAGATGCTCTCGTTGGTGTGGGTGTAGGCAGCTTCTGAAGCGATCAGACAGCAAACCGAGGTGGGAGCCGTGGCAGCCACCGTTGCTTGCACGGCCTTTGTGGGCACAGCGCCCTCCAAGGGCCCAGGCAGTGCACCTGCACTCCGGGCAGGGGCAGCAGCAGCAGTGCCAGCCCGGGCCGCTTGAATGGGTATAACTGGCAGAGGTATTTTCCGATGCAAAGAGAGGAAATCTTGCGAGCGAACATCGCGGAAAAGGTAAGAGACCGCTTTGCGTGTGCGACCTTGCCGCCTTTGCCCAAGGCCTCCACTAACTCATCCACAGCCGTGGCGGCTGCTGCTGCTGCTCTTGCCGGCTTTGGCCTGGCAGCAAGAAACCGCCAGCAACGTGCTGGGCAGGCCAAGGCGAAAGTGAAGCAAGCTTGCTGAGTTGGTCAGCCGTACTGTTTTGCAAGGTTGTCTTTTGTTTCGGGCAGTTTTTGAGGGAAAGACAGAGCTGGATAACTGCAACCAGCGACGCAGCCAAGCTCAGCCAGTCCCATTCCTGAATGGGCGGGCAAGATGATGAGGCTGATAAGTGTTGTTCGACCTCGGAGGCTGATAAACTGATAAGATAGATCTCGCTTCCGGCAGGCAGGCCTGCCCTCGATAAAGGATTTCCATAGGAAGCGAAGGTGCACTCACTGTCGCCATATCTCCAGCCTCTTTCATTCTGCGAAATTGGTAATACAGTCCATGGGTGGCCTTTCGCCGAGAGTGTTCATCCACCGGGTTTCGAAGCTCTAGCTGGCTTGCCCCCGTAGTCTTCCTGTTAATCAGCATTGCGCGAATTCCGCTCGTGCTTCTTTATTGGGCGAGCTCGGCTAGTTTAGGGATGAATCTGTCACCTCGCGTCGGCTGCGGTTGGTACTTGTTCCGGTTGCAAGAGTTGTTTGACATTGTGTGTCACTTGCCTTTGCATATATATATATATATACACATACGTATACATACATATACATACATACATACAGACATACATACATACATACACACACATATGTATATATATATATATATATGTATATGTATATGTATGTAAATGCGCACACGTCGTGCAGTAGTTCTGCCAGGCCTTGTTCCAGGGCAGGCATTCGAAAACTTTTCTCCCTTCTTGCGGCCAAACCAGCCACAGCCCCCCGGTCTCTGGTAGTCGGCGTAGAGGAGGAGGGCCCACTCCGTTGCGTCCGCTTCTCTGTGATTCGCGTGCCAAGCTTCGAGGCCCAGATGGGTCCGGCGCCGGCTGACTTTGAAAGTGTTTGGCGATTCAACCGTGACTGACCCGCCATTCGACATGGAAGTAAACAGTGCGAGCAATGACCCGAAAGGATGGCGTCATGGCACGTGTGACAGGTTCAGCGTCTTGACTTGGCGGCAAGTTTTCAGCTTTCGTTGCAACAGCCGCTAGGATAGGACTGCAACCAATTCGGTTCGCATCCCTTGCCATCCATCAATGTCAACAAACCCATGCGTAGCAACTTGTTTGGTTGGACGACAAAAGTCCTCTGATACAGCCACGCTTGTGCATTGAAGTTTCCCGAATCCGCCGTTCAAAGCTCTCACTCGCTTTGGCGATAGAGCTCCATCGCAACAAGTTGAACGGACGGGGCCGCAAGCTCTCGCGCAGACTCTGCGGCACTTCTTCGGAGAAGCGGAGACCGAGACGCAGGTGGCAGAGGTTACGGCGGTCCCGGACCCGAGCTCAGCATGAGACTTCTATAAGTTATAAGTCCTTCCAGGCACGAGCCTACGCTGCCTTCCGAGGTCACACAGCACCCACCGGGCTCTCGAATTCCCGAGGGAACTCCCACGCCCCACCCTATGGCTATCAGAAAGAGGCGCAGATGCTCATAGTGAGATGCACGCTTTGAGATCTTTTGTGATGCTCGGCACCACAGGCCCATGCTTTCGCTGCTTTTTCAGGCCCAGACGAAATCGCCGCATGCCGGCACAGCGAAATATGTTCTCGGAAACCAGGCCCGCTCGATGATCACTGCTCGACGGATGCTGACCGTTGCTTGTTCTTGGAGGCTGACTGCCGCGAACTTCATCCTCCCGATCTTCGTGCACGAGGAGTGCAGATCAGCGCCAACATTGCGCATGAATGGCACTGGCGGTTCCCAATGTTCCAAGATGTTCCAAGGGAACGGAAGACATCCCCATCAGCTCCATGCCAGACGTGTCCCGCGTCGGAGTGCACTCCCCAAACAGCAGAGGCGGTGCAGGTCTGGACAAGGTTCGTATAGAATCAATACTGAGGTGGACACAGGACTTCTCCGTGAAGTTGAAGAGGCACGATGTCTCTTTATCCTCCAGTGTCGCGTCGGTCTCGTCTTTGACATGTCTAATCATGTCTATGCAGCAGAGCCTGGGTTCAAAAATGTCTATGCAACCCTATTCTGAGACTATGCTGTATGGCTGCTTGACTTGGGACCCTGGGAGGCTGTGAAGCTGGGGGTCAAGTCCGTTGTGCTTTTCCCGAAAACGCCGGATGAGCTGAAGACACAGACTGCCGAGGAAGCTGCATGTGCACAGATTTTCTTGGTTGCAGAGTGATTTGATCGGTCTTCCGACTTGTCTGCAGCTGTCCAATATAGTATGTCTTGTGTCAGCTAACCACAGATGTGTTGCTTTTGGCTCTCATTCTGCTTTGCTGGAGGAGTGCTTCAACCCAGCGGGCCTGGCACAGAGAGCGATCAGCAATGTGAAGAAGGCGCTGCTCTGGCTTTCCTCGTGAGCGTTCATGATCCGTGTCAGAGTCTGGAGACTTGGGCAAGGCTTTTCCAGACGTGGCCCTGCTGCCGCACTTGACCTACATGTGCCGGATCTCGTCGTGGATTTCGCGTGAGTACTTCCCAAGCAGACCATGATTAATTTCAAGCTCTGGCAGGTCTTAGCACGGCTTAGATACTTGGAAGGACTACGGAGCAACACCAAGGAAGTATGCAGCAGCACTGCATGTTTTTTTGCAAGTCGGCATGTGCGTAAAGTATCAGAGAAATTGCGTCCGCAGCCATCTTGTTCGAATGAAGCAGGCAGAGATGCTGCTGCGAATGCTATCGCAAGCTAGCGAAGGCGATTGCCTGCATCACTTGCCACGGTTCATTGAAAAGGACATCAATGCTCGCAGTGCAGACGGAGCAACTGCATTGCATTTTGCGGCATCTGCTGGGTACGCCGATGTCTGCTTGGAGCTCTTGGAATCACCCTTATTCATGCAGGTGAACGATCAAGACGCATCCGGATGCACGGCCTTGCACTACGCCGCCTGCAAAGGGCATCGGGAGGTCTGCCAGGCCCTGCTTCAGCACTGGCGATTTTCAGCACAGGATACTCAGGATTTTTACAACGGCTGGACGGCCCTGCATGTTGCTGCTGCCCACGGCCAACGAACCGCATGCAGCACTTTGTTGGAGAGTCCACGCTTCAAAGTCTTGACTGCGAGAGACAAGAATGGTATGACGGCGCCACTTGGCTCCATAGCGCTTTTCTGGCAACGAGCATGGTTGCACGTTTTCCTTGCACGTGCCGTACTGTCTCCAGGCTGCACGTCGCCGCAGCTCGTGGGCGTGCGGACGTGTGTTCTGCGCTTTCCGACCATCATGCATTTGCCGGTGGTGCTGCTGTAGACAACTTCGGAAGAACCGTCCATGCTATGCGACAGGAACCGACGCTCAAGGACAGAGGTGTGCAGACAATTCAGGTTCCGAAAGGCGTTGCAAAACGGACGCCATCTACCAAGGCCAAGCCACAGATGGAAAAGTGGCAAAGTTTGGCAAAGTGGACTTCGCACCTACAAAAGATACAGGACGAGGTGCATGATCGTGCTGACATGCTTCTTGCCCAGAGCTTCAAACACCAGACAGTGTTGACCACCACCCTGCCTGACAGGCTCCCGTTATTCCGACGCAACTCCTGGAGCACGAAGTGGTATCAGCACGGCCCGGGCAGGTAGGAGAGCAGACGAGCATGGTCCAGGGAGGGAGCAGTGTCAAAGACTTCGGTGCAGCCCGAGGCAAGGAGGACGAACAGGCGCCTCACAACCTTCACTCGATTGACCCCGGGGCTTCCAATCACAGCGATGCTCAGGCCATGGCGGCACAGGTAGGTCAACCGAGACGTTCGAGCAACGGGACATTTACCGACAAGGCCGTGGGAAATCTTCCCGTGGCAAGACCTGAGCTGGAAGAAGATGACGAACAGTTTGCAGCAGGATCTGGGGATTCATCTACGACAACCGCGCATACAACCCGTGCAGAGGGGGGAAGTCCCGACGAAAGGAAGCCGTCAGCATCAGCCGCTGGTGACGCAACAGGGCACCCCACCAAGGTCGCCATACCGACTACATCAGAATCAGAAGGCAGCAAGCCTGCGAAGCCCGCAGTGCCTGCAGAGCCTGAAGATGCTGACCTGCCTGAAAGCACCAAGAAGAAAGAGGATCCAGCAAAGGCGTCGGCAGACGCTTTAGACCGCGAGGCGGCCACCAAGAGGGAAGACAGGGACGGTCCTCTGGAGGATCTACCCGCCCAAGACGCTGCACAGCGGCCTGTGAACCACGAGTCAGAGAGGAACATGGTCTCGGAGGTGGAGGGAGATCTGAAGGAAGGGAACCAATTCGAGACTTATGACAAAACCCAAGGAAGTGTGGAGCAGAGCAGTAAGGTGGCAGAGGAGAGCAAGACAGCGGCCAATGCGCCAAAGCCAGGCGACGAAATGGATGGCAACCTCCAGGCTGGATAGCGACTCATGAGGTCTAGGCTCTTGAATGAGCTGCAGAGCATGCGATAAGCACAGCATAATTAAGATCCTGATATAGTCACATACTTTTTGAAGCAGACCTGGGGTTGTGGGAAGTGGGGGTGGGTACGGCTGCTGGTGCTGCCTTCGCAAGCTGTACACCGTGCCAGATGTGAAACGCAAGAATTGGATGTAACAGCGCAGCAGCCCGAGGAAGTAGACACAAGTTCGAACCTTTCGAGAACAAAGTTGTGCCGTTCACTCGACCTCCAAACCATGCAGGACCAGGAGAGCGAAGGTACTCCAAGAGATGTTTTTTACACTTACCGCCCTAATTCGGGAATCTCGACCAAACAGACTTTGCAAAACTGCAGGCCTTCAGCCGGGAACACCTTCCCCTTCCTTCCTTACTCAGTCTCTCCATGAAGCTGGAAACAGTAGGAGAACTTTCGTTGCGTTTCAGCTCGACAGCTGCCGGCCGAAAGGCCTCGCAGAGTGCTTGCGGCTTTTTTGTGGAGGCTGCTCAAGGCGAAGAACAGGGAAAAGGCAGCTCTGATGGAGGACGCGCGAAGAAGAACCGTCAGGAGAGGAGGGAAAAATTGAAGGTCCGGCAGCTCGATAAATTGGATGCGGAACCACCTCGGACGATCCGCAACAAGTTGAAGGACGTCATGAAACAAGACGCCACTGATCATCAACAGCCAGAGGCTCAAAACGCCCAGGAAGCATCAAAGCCAGAAGAGGAGGAAAAAGCTAGGCAAGCCGCAGAGACCGCAGCAATGGCGGAAGAAGATCAGAAGGCAAGGGAAGTTGCAAGGGCGGAGGAGGAGAGAAAGGCACGGGAAGCCGCAGAGGCAGCAAGGGCAGAGGAGGAGAGAAAGGCACGGGAAGCCGCAGAGAGAGAAAGGCACGGGAAGCCGCAGAGGCAGCAGCAAGGGCAGAGGAGGAGAGAAAGGCACGGGAAGCCGCAGAGGCAGCAGCAAGGGCAGAGGAGGAGAGAAAGGCACGGGAAGCCGCAGAGGCAGCAGAGGCTGCGGCAAGAGCGGAGGAGGAGAGAAAGGCACGGGAAGCCGCAGAGGCTGCAGAGGCAGCGGCAAGAGCGGAGGAGGAGAGAAAGGCACGGGAAGCCGCAGAGGCTGCAGAGGCAGCGGCAAGAGCGGAGGAGGAGAGAAAGGCACGGGAAGCCGCTGAGGCTGCAGAGGCAGCGGCAAGAGCGGAGGAGGAGAGAAAGGCACGGGAAGCCGCAGAGGCTGCAGAGGCAGCGGCAAGGGCGGAGGAGGAGAGAAAGGCACGGGAAGCCGCAGAGGCTGCAGAGGCAGCGGCAAGAGCGGAGGAGGAGAGAAAGGCACGGGAAGCCGCTGAGGCTGCAGAGGCAGCGGCAAGGGCGGAGGAGGAGAGAAAGGCACGGGAAGCCGCAGAGGCTGCAGAGGCAGCGGCAAGGGCGGAGGAGGAGAGAAAGGCACGGGAAGCCACAGAGGCTGCAGAGGCAGCGGCAAGAGCGGAGGAGGAGAGAAAGGCACGGGAAGCCGCAGAGGCTGCAGAGGCAGCGGCAAGAGCGGAGGAGGAGGAGGAGAGAAAGGCACGGGAAGCCGCAGAGGCTGCAGAGGCAGCTGCCGAAGATGATGAAGCAGGACATCAAGCAGAGGACCATCATTCGTCGAATGAAGAGGACGAGAACAAAGCATCCTGCTTTCAAGTATATTCTGTTGGCATATCTAGAATCGGGTTTAGAACCCCGGATCCAAATGTTTCCATGCCCAAGGTAGCTGATGCCAGTGGAGGCCACTTGAGCATGCAAGCGGTGACCATGAGTGCTTGGTTCATATGGCCACAGGCAAAGATAAGAAGAAGAAACTCAAGAAGCCGAGACAGAACCAGGCCTGCTGCAAAGGCCTTTCGTGTTCGTGGAATTTAGCTTTGCTCCTCCTTTAAGGGCGAAGCAGAACCCAAGAAGAAAGGAGACTCAGCGCAACTGTTTTTTTTGCTTCCGTGAAGTGGGTTTGCGGTGTGAGTCTCAGGCAAAAAGAAGAAGAAAGACATTATAGTTACCGATTCCTGGTTGCACGAGTTCTCCGCAGAATGGCATTGCGTCTTGTCTCTTGTATCCAAGGTCGGCCAAGTCACCTTCGCAGCGGCTCGCTTTACTTTAGGGCCGTTAGAAGATAGAACTGTCCATCGAGTCTCTTTGCTATGGGGTGGTGTCAGTCTGTACTCGGCACCCCACCCGGAGTCAACCACGCCTGTGTCAGGCATGACCGCGGGACCGGCAGTATGGCCTGAGTTTAGACGGAATCGTTTGCAGCTCTGTGATTGACAAGCCAGCAGGTGGGTTGTGACATATCCAACCCTGTGTTGTACAAACTTTATTAACGTCTGTTATCAGCCATCAGCGAAGCTGAACCTCCGTGGCCCCTGAAGGGGCCACGGTAAAGTGCTGGGTAATGTAAGTTCGGCACGTCGTGCAAAGAGTTGCTTGAAACATAAAGGCGCAAGTGGAGTTTAAACGGAATCCTTTGCAGCTGTATTACTCATAGATTGGCCAGCAGATGGTTTGTAAGATACCCCGATATACCCCGACTCTGTATTGTACATACCTGGACATACCTTGTTAATATTGTATACAATGCTAATGTCTGTTATCAGCCATCAGCGAAGCTGAACCTCCGTGGGCCCTGAAGGGGTCGCGGTAAAGTGCTGCCCACTGATAATGCAAGTTCGGCACATGGTGCAAAAGAGTCGCTTCAAATATAAATAATTAAAGATAATAAAGGGGCAAGTGGCACGGCTGCACTCGATCATACTGTTGCTGTTGCTTGTTCGGCCAGGTGGTGTACACGGATGTCGCGCTGGATCCCTACAACTCGCTAGGCCGCACTTCTTCAGCTGCTGCGCAAGGGGTCGCTACACTTGAGACTTTCCTTGCGTAATGTGGCGCTCATGAAGGACATGACGGCATCGTCCGGTCTGATGGTGTCATCCTGAACGACGAAACGACGCTCGTTTGAAGCCTGCAGCCGGCTTCCACCACCATAATGTCAATCCATGGCTGCTTTATCCAAGGATCGCTTACCTTTGCAAGCAGGCTGTGTAGCAACCTCAGCTTTCGGACTGCGCTGAGTTAAAGTCTAAATCAGTTGATTCTCACATCCGAGGCCACCCTGTCCAAAAGAATGTAGAATCTAGAGTTCCCGATGTGCACCTGAGCTAGGCAAGGTTCTCGCGATTGGACTTTCGTAACACCCAAGAAAGAGCGGGCGTAATCGTATCCAGTTGTGGCATGCGAAACAGTCAGCGTCGGAAATGACTTGCAACATCGTTGAGCGAGCCACCACTGGAGCACGAGCATGCCCATACCGGGAGTTTGTTTGTGACACGCGCAGAACAGGAGGTGAATCCATGATGATCCATGGAACTCCCACAGTCTTGCGATGAGTTCTCTTGGAATCATCCTAGCCGTTAAAACCTGTCAAGTGGACCTGATGAAACAGGACATTGCAGCAGGTTTGGAGGAATTTCTGAACATTGCAACTTGGGGCGTATCTCGAATTGCCGTGCATATCCTTTGCCATTCAGCCACGTGTTTGCACCAGGGACCGCTTCCTCCGTTGAGCACGCAAAAACACATCACCTTGAGCAGTTCGAAGGTCTATTTGTCAAGCGAACTGAAGTAAACGCCTATGGCCAACCGAAGTTTTCAACACAACTGTTCGCATTGCATCAGCTCTGGCCCAGGTCTCAAGCAGAAGCGGGTGCTGACTACGTGAGTGCCCGCCAAAGATCTCCTTCTGCGATGGTGAGACAGCACTCCAGGGCAAGCTGGCATCGGCAGTTGCATGCAAGGCCCCAGCGACATGATGGATGGGCGAATTGGCCATGCACTGAAGTGAGATAGACATCATCTTGGCATCGCTCCAAAATTTCAAGACGGCATCTGGACTGTCCGGAGCTTCGAGGTGCAATCCGTGATGCTCTTGATGAAGCCGGATTCACCAACGTGGGCATCATGGCGGGCTGATGTTGGATTGTTGTGTCGCGGTGGTGCGTGACAGCCGCATTTGCACCAGACAATCTCGCAGGCATACAGTGCCAAGTATGCCTCGGCTTTCTATGGGCGCGAGCCTCCGCATGAAGTAGGCAGCAAAGTCGCGTCCATTCAGCGTGTTCCAGGCCTTTCCGAGAGGCATTGGATTCCAACCCGGTCATTGCGGAAGATTGGCAGGCAGTGAAGAAGCGTGAATGCACTACCAACGAGGCGTGTGCCAGCCAGGTGCCCAAAGGGAAGGAGACCTACCAGCAGGATCCAGTACCTCGGCTGAATGGCAAACTTCGGACTGGCCTTGCATTTGTGGCGTCTTGGGGTTCCCTGGGTGTGCTCAGGCCAACTACAAGGAAGCTTTGCTGGAGGTTCACGGCCCCGGCTGCGATGCAGGGGAGGGAAAAGATGGCCCGTGCTGAGGCAGCACTGGACGAGGAAGAGGGTGCGGACATACTGATGGTAAAGCCGGCTATGCCTTTGCACCTAGCAGCTTCTTTTCAAAAAATCCTCCCGAACACTTATCATCTAGAAGTTGGTTGAGGCCGTACCTCGACATCATCAAGGGCTTGCATGAGCAGAGCAACTTGCCAATTGCCGCCTATCATGCCCAGCCCTTGAGCCAGGGCTTGATGGAAACTTCTCACGGGTCCCACGTGTCCAGGTCTCCGGAGAATATGCCATGCTCAAGGCTGCAGCTCTGAACGGCGCGGTGCTCGGAGAACTTGGGATGCTATATATATATATATATATATATATATATGTGTGTGTGTATATATATACACACATATATATATATATATGTATATATATATATATATAGATAGATAGATAGATAGATGGATAGACACACGCATTGCGTTTGCATTTGGTGGTTTCAGGCTGGCTGGATGAGAAGGCCGTGGTTCTGGAGGCGACCGCTGGAGTGCGAGTCCACCTTGCCTCGAAGCCATTCTTGTTAGGCCCTTCTCTCAATCAGACGTGCTGGTGCCACGGTCATCCTTACCTACTACGCCAAGCAGGTCTTCCTCTGCCTTGCTGTGCCTGAACCCGACCTTTGAAGCCAGCTCTCCAGGCGGCGCGATGGCTGCAAGAGGAGGATGCCTGAAACGAGTTCCGTTCAGGAGCAGGTCATTTCTTCGAGATGCTACCGGTTTTTCGAGCTGGCGAAGAAGAAAGGGTAACACGCTTTTCTGCAGCCAGCCAGAGCAGTGGATGGAGGTGACGGACCTGATGCTTCCAACTAATTAGGAGACTAGCTGCTGCACAAGTTAACATCAACACCACACATGAAGGCGAGCAGATTGGAAAGCAGAAGAGCCCGAAAAGCGTGGAGACGGTGCAGCGATTTTGCAAAGCGAGAGCGGGAGGCTACCCGCGACCAATGGACGAGCACCCGTGGGTCCCCTCGCTTCTGTAATTTTGCCAACCCATGGCGGGCGTGGTAGATATGCAACAGATGCCCAGGTAGGAAAATCGAATCCAGTCGAGATCCACCGTTTACAAAGTGGGCACGGCTCTGTGGGAATCCAGCCAGCACTGCAGCGTCGGGTTGTTGACGGTCGCTTCCCCCCTCCCGCCCCCCTCCAACACCACAAGCACAAAATGACAGGAATAATCCTGCCACAACCGGGGACGGCTGGATGGGGAAGTTGGAACGGAGGAGGTGGGTTGGTAACTACATGTCTTGACAAAAAGCAGGTCAAAGGAGCCCGGCCGCCAGGACCTGACCTAAAGTTTCCATCATGTCCTTGCGTTTCGAGCCTTCCGCAAGTTGTGGCGACGCGACTGCTCGGAAACAGACGATAAGCAAGCAACAAATCCTTGGAGAGCAGCTGAAGCCGAGCCCTTCGCATCGGGCGACTTGATCGCGACAGTGAGGTCTGCCCTCTGGTGTCGTTGCATGTCGTCTTTCAGGACGAGGCAGGAATTCCTCGCGAGGGCACACCTCAGGCGACAAGACCGAAGCAATTCGCCAGCGACACGTCCGTCCAGCCTTCAGTAGTTGGTGAAGGATCTTGACCGCCCCAACCATGCTTTGACTCAGCTTGACCAAGACGAAGTTGGAAGACTGGAATCTAGATCCATGCATTTTTCTTCAAGGCACTTCGGGTTCCCAGGAACTCTTGCTCTTCACGGGTTCTGTGAAGCATTCCACTTCCAGCACCAGCAGTCTTCAGAGTCGATTTGCGGAGCCTTCTCATTCGTTTCATGGCGACTTCGACATGCAGGACCTGACAATATAAGTGCGGGAGCAACATGCATCCAAGCAAAGCTGGCGAGAGTGAACGCCGCTCTGCAAGCAATGCCCGGCGACGTGTGCTGCTGTTTTCAGGGCTCCTGCTACGTGAGTTGTTCATCTTGATTTGTAGCTACCCTGCTCATCTCCCACCAACGAGATCCAACGAGTATCCTGCAGAGCTCGCGTTGCGCAGGAACATGCAGGATTAAATCGGCACACCAGCTGACCTGTGATGCAGACCGCGAGACTTGATCAACACAGCTTCATGCATGAAAACGGCATGCTGCACCTGCTGCCCTTTTTCTCAGTGTTTGTTTAGGGCTCGCCAGATCCTCGGCGAGAGGATGTCTAGCTTGCCTGGTGGAGCGTTTCCGGCGCGAACATGGCCGGCACGGACATTATTAATTACTACGCAGACCTGGGAATCGAAGACGAGAATGCAGACGAGGCTAGACTCGAGTTGCGCTTTCTCCTTGCTTGTGATGTCTATTGTGGTCCCCACCCGTCAGGCAACGATCAAGAAAGCCTACAGAAAGCTGGTCTTAAAATGGCACCCAGACAAGCATCCTGAAAACCGGGATGAAGCAGAGACACAAATACGAAAGATCAACAACGCATACGAGGCCGGGCACACAGCAGCTCATGGTCGCATGACGAGTCTTGCTTGGAGGTCTTGAGCAATCCCACCAAGCGCTCGACCTATGACGATCAAAGAAGAGCCGTCAGAAGAAAGAAGCAGGGTTTCGGGCCACCGCCTCCAAGCGGCGCTGCGCGCTTAGCTGCCGTTAGGCTGCAGCAGGCTTGTTGCCATGGTTTCTTTGTCACCTGTGAGGCACCTCGCATGAGAATTCCGAAGGAATTCATGATGATGCCAATAGGTGGCCACGCATCGAGCGAAAATGCCTGCGAAGTTGACGTTTCGCATGGCCAGGATTCCCAGACCGATTTGTCCGGTATAATGGCCGTCGACTTTTCGTCCAACGTCGAAAAGATGACCCCGACGTCGAGTTCAAGGCAGGTTGTTTGAGACTTGAGCTGCAGCTCGTTTCCGCACAAGCAAGCTGGAAGACTCGCTCTCAGGCCTTTTTCGAAGACACGAAGTGGTCACTGTGGTGGCTGCCAGAAGTTAACAACATGTGCCGAGTCAGAGCGCTCGGATCAAAAGCAGCTGGGGAGAAGATGGGAGTGCCCAAGCCGCACGGAGATGTCTTCAAGCCAGCTGCGGAAGTGTGTGCCGCCGTGTGCCACAAGGTTGCTGCGGGGCTATGTGGAGGCTTGAACTTATCGTTCTTTATCGACCCAGCCAGTTCCGGCCTCGTCTCGACAGGCCTGGATCAAGGTTGTGTGTTTTCCTGCCTCCAAGGCCCTACCGACTCCGAAGTGGGTTTAGAAGATGCTCGCAAGGGCGAAAAAGTTGACAAGGCCATGAGATTGCTCCAACCATGATGTCTCTTCCCGCTCCCTATGCCTGCTTGTGAAGAAAGTGAAATGCAGGTCAATTTCGTCGCAGTGACGAGTCCAGCCTACGAAGGGGCCTTCCGGTTTGAAGCTGCTTATCGACGAGGCTCCGCACCGCCACAAGTATCTTACAAATCGGCGACAAGTATTGAAGCCACTGGCAATCCCAGGATTTTACTTGACCTTCCTGCCACCGAACCATCTACGGGTGGCACCGTACGGTGAGGCGACAGCGAGCAGTGCCGCGAAGGGTTCTACATTTGCCGACAGATGTCTCGAAGGAGGATGACAGAGGCATTGCAGACTTCGCTCTGGTGGACTTCGGTGTAATGTTCAAGTTCATTGAGATGGAGGAGGTGCGGGGGGCTTTTTCAAACGCCGGCGTGCGTGCGCCTTTGCTCGGCACCGTGGCCTCAGGTCCTCCAGCCCGCTGTCGCGGCATACAAGGGATGGGTGAAGCTGGAGCAGCTCCGGAAGGATCCGAATATTCTCTTGTACTTCTCCAAGATTCTGCAAAGACCAGTGCCAGCCCGAGAATCCGAATCCGTTGAGAATATTTGGAGGATTTTAAAGGCGTGTCGATTGCCTGGCCACCCTAAATCCTTTCAGGTCTGGGATAACGAAGACTTCATCATCTACTTCGAGGGCCACTGGGAGACATGGGAGTTCAACAAAGACACCCAATCGGTGAGGCCAGGATTCGAACGGCAGATCCGACAAAGGAGCCTATCAGGCTGCAGCTTGCAGTCGTCAGGCTCCGGACGAAGGAGGAGAAGTTGGCCCAGATGCTTGCAACAGTGAAAGATATAGACGGGGTCAAGCACTCAAAGCACTTCTGCTTGTGCTTGTTTGGATCCCTTAGTGGTTTCCGACCTTGTGCGACTGGCATGTTGCAGGTCTCGGCTGTTGTGGCGGGTGCAAAAGATGAACTCACCAAATTGCCGCTTCTGGCAGCGGCACGTGCTTTGGTGGTGTTGGCAGCATCCACTCACGATGGCGAGGGGTAAGGGCCTTTGCAGCTGGTGTTCTCTCGCCCCACGGTCTGCAAAGAAGGCAGTTGCAAAGCCTTACTTGTGATCAGGCTTGATGTCACCAAGACCATCAACAGGATAGCGGCGCAGAAGAAACTGCGACTTAGTGGCAAGAGCAGGTTGCTGTGGACGCGTGCTTGCACTTGAACCTCGGTGGAGCCGACTGTTTTCTCAGGCTCTCAAATCTGCGAAGTATCCTCGCTACTGCTACGAACGGGGGTGAAGTCGCCTCCGCCCTAGCTGCATCGTGAGAAACTGCAACAGCACGGCATGTCACCAAGATCTCCTCCAGTGATTACAGGGTGAAAGGCTACCGACACACCAGTGCATGTCGAGGGGTAGGGGTCGATGAGTCGGATGGACGAATCAAGACAAACGCGCAACCGAGCATTATTACTTCGGTCCACAAGATGACCCCTTGAAGCAACAGGATCGGAATGCACAAATGGCAGTGTGTGGAAGGGCTGCTGCTCCACTATCTGACCAGCGGGGAAGGTGCACTGCAACAAAATCCCTACCATTTGCTTCACTGGTGATGTGACGTACTGGAGATGGCCCGTCTCGTAAGTTCAGTGCTGCAGTCTGCGACGTCAGCAAGTGTCAACAAATCGCAGGCCAGTACAATGCTCACCTCTGAAACAAAACTGGTGGAAGCGTAGGTGAAGGTGCCTCAGTTTGCCGACCAATAAACATCTCCAGCAGTCCAGCTGCACCGGAGCGTTGCTGTGCCTCTGCTACGCTTCACTGCAGCTGACAGCCGCTCTGCTAGCCATGGGACGTGGCAGTGCTGATGTCGGATGTGAAATTCCGTACGGCTTTCAATCCTGGTCAGTCTACTTACTGGATCCCTTGGAGCATCTGCAATGCCAGCGTCTACTAGTCCAGTACTTGAATGCAGCTATAGGCTGGTAACGCTCTTTAAGCTATGTCTTTGATAGAACACCGTAAGACCGCACAATTGCAGTTGGGCTTGACACTGCAATGTCGCGCTGCTTTGTTTGATAAGTGTCATCTCTTCGTCGACCTGTTCTGCAACAACAGGTGCTGCCATTGAATGACCTGCTGGATATGGCAGATCTCGCGGGTGCAGTCGGGGGCACAGGCGCGAAGCACAGTTTTGTCAGATGACACTACCTGCTTGCATGAGCGCTTGCACTGGCACACTGCAGAGCACTGGAAAACCACCCGGGCATCCGAGGAGCTGCAAGCGATCTCGTGCACACACGACAGGCCAGTGGCCTTCGGGCAAGTGTCCAGACTCCAGACAGTCGGATAGACCTCCAGCTGGCATGAAGGAGGTCTGTATTCTGGGAAGATCCACGCACTCAAACAGATGCGTATACTCGTTGGTTTATCATTGTTTGTCTATTTGCCTAA